AAGCCGACGGCTCATAAATGTTTGTTACAAAAAAACTGCTAAAGTACAAATCAAGAATTATTACTAAGTACAGATCATGGATGACCAACTTCGGCGGCAACCTCTTCGGCAGGTTTGGAAGTGGCATCCCCTCCGGCCTCCTCTTCATCCTCGGCCTCCTTCAGCAGCTCAGAATCGACCTCTCTGCATCCGGGGGGAGGAGAATGCGAACATCTGGTTGAAGAGGGGGGAGGCCATAGGCGGCAGGATCAAAATCCTTCGGCTCCACCCCGTAGTGCCGGGCCAACCTCCTGTAGATGAGGGCCTGAGTGAAATACTCACCCCCATCATAGTATTCCTTGCCCTTCCGGGCCAGCCACTCTATCCCGGGGCCGTTGCACCACTCATCAACGGATGCCTCCACAACCGAGGCCAGCCACTATTTGCGCCCCTCAGATCTCCAGCCCTTGGCAACAAAGGCATCTATGGCTTCCTCCCAGGCGACGACAACCGCTTTGTTCTTGGCCTCTTCAGCCTCCTCGACGGCTTTCTTGGTGGCCTCAGCAGCAACCCTCTCGGCTTCGGCCTTACCCTTATTGGCGGCCTCCAGCTGCAGCCCCAACTGCCGAAAGGATTCCTCCAACTCTGCCATCTGCCTCACGACATCGGCGTTGTCGTGGACAAGCTTCTTCGACTGCTCATCCTATTGCGCTTTCTGGAGGCGTAACTCTTCCGCCCTCCGGACCTGTTCACCGAGGGCTAAGCAGGCCTGCAAGCAACAAACAAAGGAGCTAGACTACTATACAGAATACAGTAAGGCCAAAAGAAAGAAAGCAAAGGAAAGGGGAAGCTTACAGTAAGAGAAGACCGAACGATTTTGGACTCGAGGGCTTCATCCTCGAGCCGGCTCAAAGCGGCCTTGTCCAGCGAAGGGGTGGCACCCCTAAGGAACTCCTTCGGGTCCACCGTGCCATGCACGACGGCAGTTCCCTTGAGAAGGGAGAACTGTACAATCTCCCGGGGCAGGCCCCCCTCGTCCACAAGGGCCTTGGAGGTACCGGTCGGGATGACCGGGAGCTCGGACGAGGAGTGCTCGTCCACGACCACGACCGAGGGAGTCTTCTTCTCGAGCTCTGTCTTCTTTGGCTTTTTTCCGGCGGGAACAACCTCTTTGCCGACCGCCTTCCTCTCGGTAGCGGTAGTCGCAGCATCAGCAGGGACGACCGAGGGCTGGCCGCCCTTCGGGAAGAAATCATCGACGGGCTTTTGCCCACCCGCCTCCTTCTTCTTCGGCTCCTTGGCCGATTTCTTTTTCAAACCAGCAAAGTCTTTTACGTTCATTTTGGCACCTGCAGAACAACATAAATAAATGAGGACGAAGGGTCAAGGCAAGCAACAAAAGCAACATAAATATTCCTAAGTAAGAAAAACGGCAGCCCTTGATAATCACCTCCAGTGCCCTCAAAGGCTCGCTCAAGTACGGGATATTTATCGTCATGTTCCCCCAGAAAGCGGTAGCGCCGAAAGCTGAGGTTAAACAAATCAACCTCGAGAGTCAGCTCCTTGACTGACACATGCTTCTCACGCCCCTCCGGGATTGCTGAAATCTTCTTCCCTTCCTTCTCCAGGGAAGCAATCCCCACCTTCGGGTGCCTCCTAAAGTAGTTCCCCAGCTCCCTCGGGAAAGGATTATTCGCCATCTTGATATAACAAAAGCGATATTTCCAGCCCTTGTGAGACGAGGGCACGTCATCAAAAAGCCTCCACGGGGCGATTTGTTGCAAGTTGGCAAACCCCTCGGAATTGGTGTGCCCCCCGGCAAAGATTGAAATTTTGAAAGAAAAGGTCAAGGCTGGGAGTTGCCCCCCGGGACCGGCAGAGTTGCAGGAAGCCGGTGATATAGGAGTGGCTGTTAGGGGAGAGTTGGCAGGGGGCTAAGCCAACGTACCTCATATACTCGAGGAGGAACGGATGCAGAGGGAATCAGAGGCCCATGGTGACCGAGAGCACATGGACAACGAAGCACCCCTCGGGAGCCTGGGATAACACATCATCAACTCCCGGTTCCACCACCGTCGCCGAAGGCCCCACGTGCAGCTGCGTGACATAACATTCTGACCTATCAGCCCTCGACTTCAACTCCAGGGCAGCCGTATTCAACCATGAATACCCCTCTGGTATTCCCACGGGCTTTCCACAGTTCGCGGCCCTCGGCTTATGTTTCTTGGAAGCTCCAACTTTCTTCTTGCCCTTTGCCGATGGCGCTGCTCTGAGAGGTTCCGGACTGAGGGCACGTGAAGTTTACTCCAGTCGCAACAGCCGAAGGGATGGCAATGGTCACCCGACGGCGTTCTTTCTCCTCCACTTCTTTCACAGTTTGAAGAGCGAGGGTCAGCTCCTCGTCATCGTTGACTTGCTCAAAGTCTTCGGCTTTGGCTTCGGCCACCAGATCTTTTTGCACCTCCACCGCGACGGATGAGTCGTTAGTTTATGAGGGCTCCCCACTGGCTGACCTCTCTTCCGACCAGGTCTCGGCCTGAACCGAAGGCTCTCCGGAGATGTCTTGGGAATCACTCGGTGAAGACATTCTCGAGGACTAAGAGTAGAAGGGTTCTAAATAGAAGGCTTCCTATGGAACACTAACACTAGATCTAAAGAAGGCAGAGCTAAGTATGCTACTGAGGCGAAGAACAAGGAGGTGAACTAACCTTGGAGGCAAGGTTTGATCGAGCTAGTACTTTCTCTCTCTAGAAGTGATTTCGACAGGGCTTCGCTTCACAAAATTCGCACAAAGCGAGTAGAGCCGGCCTTGGGGTATTTATAGGCGTCACACTCCGGGCTTAGGCCAAAAAACCGTTCCCCCGATGGAAAAATCATCATTACACGCCGTTGCTTCAGCCAACCGGTGACGATCGCCCGAAGCTAGCCAACAACTACACACCACGTGGACAGCCACCTCCAACGGTCATATTCCAACGATCATATCCCGGCTGGCACACCTCAGACAATAACTACGCAAGCCTTCGGGCTAACTCTTTCAGACTCCTTCATCAAAGGTAAACCCCGGGAACCCTTAGCCCTCAATATATTGAGAACCAGGGAACCCCTCGGCAACAACACAACTATCACTTATGACGTCATGCCCTCAGCCCAATAACAGAGGGAATCCCCTCGGCGTCCCCGGGTATCAACAACTAGCCTTCGGCTAACAGAGGGAATCTCTCTCGGCATCAACATTGTCCTTCATCTCAGACCAAGGGTTCACCTTTTTGATTCATCATTGGGGGAATTCGACGCACTCTTTTTTCCTCATTAGGATCTTTTCCCACAGGGTTTTTCCTAAGGAGGTTTTTAACGAGACACCCCCCCAAAATGAAACGAAAAGCGTCAGCCCTCGGCCCTACGTTGAAAACAGGCACCACTAAACTCCTTTTCACCACATTACATATGCCTCAAGGAGTGGGGGACTGGAAAACCCCCTCGGGAAAATCACAAAATGTTAAAGTTTCTCCCAGAGCATCAACATCCTTCAGTCCCAAAATGTGGGGGACTGAGGGATTGCCCTCGGTAAAACAGCAACGAAACAAACACCAGCATCAGAGGACAAACACATTTACTCTTTTTCCCTCAAGTACCTCTCGACAAAAGGAGTGAGGGACTCCTGATGGAGTATACGACCCGGGGACCCCCGGCCCACGTACTTCCACTACTGTAATCAGGCCCAACAGGCCCAAACGCGCCAAGCCCATCAAAACAAAGCTCTAAGCAGCCCACAACACACAAGGGGCTGCCTTCGGCACATGAGGGCCCGTTAACCGAAGGCTACCGTTTACAGAGTTGAGCTCAGGAACATCATAGGAGAACAAGGCTTGAAAACCAAGCCTTTGGCATATACAGTCCTCGGCACAGGGAGGCCCCCGGTTAGAAGAGCCTTCGGCCCAACACCCTTCAACCGAAGGCACTTCCCTCGACAGAATATCCTCTCCACATGTGCCTGGATCTCCGTACCAAGTACAAACGTCACATCCAATCACCGCATTTAATGCGGCCACATGCAGGTGCCGGTGCCACCCGGTTGAAGTGACCCCTCGACCACCAGATTATTGACACGTGTCCCTATCTGGCATTTATTGCCGCTATAAATAGCAGCCTATTTCCCCATTGTAAGGCATCACAAATTCACATATTGAATATATATTCTCTCTCTACCTATTGCTCCGACTTCTCTCTAGTTATTCCCCGAAATAACCCTCGGATAAGCTACCCCCGGGTGGCGGGTACACTATCCATCAATGACCCCTCCATTTTAGAGTGTGGTCCTCAATCAGTTGTGTTTGCTACTTTGCTACCTTGCTCATACGAGTTTTTGCATTCCTATGTATATGTATGCGATTGCTATTCCCTTTGTTCATATTTATATGTCCATTTATGAGATCCAAGCACATTAAATTGTTCACCTTAATTTACACTTATTATATTATTCATTATCTCATTTTTTTAAAGAAGAGATGAATGAGAACATGACTTTTAATGAAAACTTTTTTAGTCAAGTACTATAAATTTGATTATTTTACCACCGATTATATTTTCTTAAACTGTGATTTGGTCAACCTTTCTAAGGTATTTTCTTCTTTGTCTCATTCTTCCTACATGCATTTTAGTTTTGCTTAATTTATGGAGAGATAAACAGGGAGAATATAATGCATTTAGCATAATGTGTTTGTTTTGATGATATCTCGCCCGAAATGCTGTAAAAAATGGACTCTTCAATTAATACTTTCACTCTAAGGCAAAATGGAACCTATTAGCTCAGGTTTCAGTTCGGAATGTACTGGATGAAGCCCCCTCTGTCTATTTTCAGGTTCTAGGTTTCTTCTTTGGACGGTAGTCATGTGTGCTAGTTTCAATTGTTTCCTTTAAAAATCTAATTTGATTTAATAAGTTATAGATCAATGCCTAGATCAGCCTTTCGTAAATCTTTAAAGTTTTGTCTTTTTTCTTGCTATCCATCTTTTTTGCAGCTTCTAATCTTTGTCTAGGTTGATTTTTTTGTCCGGATGTGGGCTCATGTGAAACCAAATAATTTTTTAATTGAAGGCTGCTCAGGCAACCAACTGAGAATTCTATCCTCGCAGTTTGGATTTTTTCGACACTTTCATTTCAAGACAAATCCGAGAACCGGTTGTGAATATGTGTCACATTCATCATCGGATTCTGCCCAACGAAAGGCCCAAAGGGTTGTTGGGATTTTCTGGGATTTGGATAACAACAAACCACCAAAGATGTTACCTCCTTTTGAGGTGGCCACAAAGATAAGAAAGGCAGCAGAGCAGTTTGGGTTAGTCAAGTACATGATAGCTTATGCTAACCAACATGCACTCAGTTATGTCACACCTCTTGTTAGGCAGAAGAGGAAAGAGATTAAAGTGTCAAATGACTTGGAGTATATCTGTAGGGTGTGTGGGAGGAGTTTTTATACTAATTATGAAAAGTTAATTAACCATTTTAAGCATATACACGAACGCGAGAATATGAAACATGTGAATCAGATTGAGAGTGCAAGAGGCATGAGGAGGGTAAATTTGGTGGCTAAATACTCTACAAAGATGCAGAAGTATAAAAATGCATGTAGAGGTATTTTGACACAAAAAGTTGGCTACAGTTTGGCAGATGAGGTAAGACGGGCGGGGTTCTGGGTTAAGTGCATTTCAAATAAACCAGACACTTCAGATATTAGTTTAAGGGATCAATTGGTGAATATGATGAACAAACAGATGGTTGATTGTGTGCTTCTTATATCTGACAATTCGGACTTCGTGGATGTTGTGAAAGAGGCGAAGTCGAAGTGTTTGAGGACGGTAGTCATTGGCGATGTCACAGAAGGGGCTCTCAAGAGGGCCGCAGATGCTTCGTTCTCATGGGGGGAGATAGTGATGGACAAAGCTACGAAAGAAGCGAATACAGTTGTAGGACAGTGGAAGGACCGTGATGTGTTGAAAACATTGGAATGGACTTATGATCCAGTGAGAGACAAAAAATACTATTTCTTATCTGACTTTGAGTGTGAGGTTTATTCTGATGTTGACGATCGTTTTCTCTCTGGTGGGAAATAGTGCTGAGCTGGCATTCATTCTATGCATAAGGAAGATAGTAGAGAGTGATGGGAGTTGGGCTCTAAGACTACGAATGTGAACTGATGACCTTCACAGTCATTTTAAAGGTACACTAGTCTCCTTTTGGTAGGCATAATTTGCTTATCCTGCTTATGCTTCAGTAGAATAACTGAATAAGTAGTTTTTAACTTACTTATTTGGTTGTCAAACACTTTTCCCTTGAAATAATCAACAAACAAAGCCATTTGAGCCTAATAACCTTTACCAAATGCTATTGAGGTAATTAGGCTCTTTGTGCATCAACTAAGATGGAAACTGACGTTATCTACTTAATGACACCATAAGAACTTTGAGAGAATTATTATACAAGACAAGGCTGCCATATAGATGCATGTGATGCAATGTTTCTATTTGTAAGCGTCACAATCTCATTGATGAACAATTTGATTTTTATTTTTATTTTTTAGTATTTGTCTAATGTAGAGTATATATTATTGTCGGGGCATTAGTTATCCTTCTACCTCTTGGGCTTCTTTGCTGATTTATGTGATGGGCTTCCTTTAATGGACACACACAGTAGAGTCATAGGTTCTTTAGTTTAAGCCTGTTGGTATGTAAATATGGTTGTCTTAAATTGAGTTTTAAATTGAGTTTTAAATATATACGTCTTTTGTGTTGTGGTTGTCTTACTTGTCTGTAGAAGGAAGTATTTCCCCACTTGGGCCATTTTTCTAACATTCATTTATGAAGTAAAAAATCCTTTTGGGTAGAATATACATATTTTTGTAATATTGAGGGATGAAAGAGAGTTTTTAAATTTTAAGAAATTGTCTTGAATGTCAGCTGATGCCAAAATATGTAGCATGATTTAGTAATGGTAGTACATTACTCTTATTTAGGGAAATAACATAGAGATCTGCTCTGCCGTGTCTACAACCACCACACAATTCCACAAAACCTTTAGAGATCTGATAAACGAGACATTTCATCCATAAGTGGATCAATTTGTGAGTCTTCATGGACAACATTCTTACCTACTTGGAGAGTGAGCAGCATAAAGAACATGAGGATTTGTGCTAGAAAAAACACTTCAAGAGAAGTATCTCATTGCAAAATTTTCCAAGTGCCATGTTTGTGGTGAAACCGATATTACTTGACGGGATCATGAAGCGTCAATTTGAGGACAAAGAACTATGACCGGTTCGAGGTTGGGGATTTTCGGGAGAGAGAAGATGGATTGCTCTCGTCTCACTCTGGATGCATTGATGTAATGGTGAATCCAATATTTGTGTAATGTAAATGTACACTAAAAATAAATTTGCTCTTGTCTCACCCAGGAACATTGCCATCATCTCACCCTTGAAGGAAAAGTGAAGATCATTTAGATAAGAGCGGGATAATCTGATTACACTCATATTACAACCTATCAAACTAAAGCTTGTTGTTTTGTTAGGTTTTGCCATGTAATCTTTCCATTATTCATGTGAGATATTTGTAAACAATACATTTCAAGCTTACAAAGAATTGTCACATCTCGTGAAGACGTGAAGTAAAGTATTCCCTAGTTTTAAGATCAAATATGTGCCAACCTTTTTTCCAAAAATATATTCAATAAATACACACTTATGGCTCAGGCCCGTATATTTATCTCCTTTAGCCTTTTGATTATAAGCAAAGCACAAACGTCCGAATACACAAGAGTTTTATAATCAGCAAAATCCCAAATAATAGTCAAAGGGTGATTTATGTTGAAGAAGAGCTAATGGTGTTCTATTAATTAAAAGGAGAAAGATCAAAATGGACACTAAGGTTATTTATAAAGTTCAAAATGGACACTGACATTTTAAATAGATCAAATAAATCCATAATTCATGTTTTAGGGTCAATGTGGACACTGACTAACTGAACGGGGTTAAAAAGAAGTTCCCCATAATCCATAATTCAGAAAACAAACACTGAAACAAGACTATGAGAATTGAAAGAACCCTATTGTTGCCCCATCCAAGAACCCCAATTTTATCCTCATCCATTCGCTCAAAATTAAAGCTTGAGGAATTGGAAGTTGTAGTCAGGGTAAAGGGGAACACATTTCAGCAACCTCAATTTCTTCTCAATCTGGCCGTCAGCTCCAAAAAGTTCAGCGAGATTAAGGTAGCAACCCTAATTCATTCGCACCTTCACCAATCTCCTCTTTGCAAAAAAAAAAATATGAGGGGAGGGATTTAGATTATGGGACAATCAGATTCATCATCAAGCTTAACTGCAAAGGAAATTGCAAACACCCAAGGATCAATCCTGAACCGAAGCAACATTGAATTTCGTTATCCTTGCCAACCTAGGTATTATTGCAAATGCAGAAAGAGATACAAAATGCCCGTGAAAGCACCACTTTAGACTTCATGGATTGAAAAAAATCAAAGGAGACGTTTCCATGGATGTCCCAATTATGAGGTATATATCTAATTTTAGAAAAATGGTTTTATTTATGTTTGTAAATTAAATGTTTCATATAATATGCAATGTGGTGGTTGTGGATTCTTTGAATGGCATGATGAGCCATTAAATGGTAGGGCATGAGATGTAATTAATGAGCTCAAAATGGAAAACAAACAGCTACGGTCTAAGATTTGGAAACCGGAACATGACATAGGTGCAAGGAGATTTGATAAAGTTGGAATCCAGAGTTATGATATTAATGAGCTTCAAGAATTTAGGAGTTTCAAAACATATGAGAATATGGCATTGGAAAGGGAAAAAATAAAATGAGAAATGTTTTTATTGTTGTATTGTCTTGTATTTTCATTAGAGTACTCTGTACTTTTTAGTTAGTTTGTATTTCTAGATTATGTGTAAAGTTAGATTGTAAGCTTCAAGTGGAATCTCTGTAAAACTTTTAACTGATTTGGTAAGCTTCTGCCAAACTTCTACCAGTTTTTCATTAATATAACTATTAGTTGGTATGTTGGTTTGTCTCATTCAAATACACTTAAGTGGAATTTAACCGTTTGATATCTTTAATATCACTATTAGTTAGTTAGTTTGTAAGCTTCAAGTGGAATTTAACTGTTTGGAACATGGATTGATTCTTAGGATTAGTTAAAACATGCACATAAACTCATTGAACAATAAATAACAGTAGTTATAAAATGCAATAATCTCTTGTTTATTGTATGTCTTGCCAACAAACACTACTACACATACTCATAAAACTTAATGTCAGGTTTTCACCTCTCCAACTCAGACCACACTCATACAGCACACACAACCAAGCACCACCGGAAGGGACAATCACACTCAGGCCAACCCAGCCATCTCAACGCACGCCAAAGGTCAGAAAAGGGGAAGCACACAGAGAGATGACCACAGAGGGACCGGAAGGAGAAGATACATGGAGTCTCTCTCTACTCTCTCTAACCTCACTCTCTCTCTAACCGAAGACCTCAGCGTCAAGAGAAGACGAAGAGGGTCTTAAGTACCCGGGCTGCAGGGGAAACCCTAAAGGAGGGTTCCAGAAACAAGGCTAGCGACAAAACAACATGGGCCAGGACAAGAGGTAAGCAAACAGGCCCAACAAGAGTAAAGAGGGCTGCCATGGCCTATGGGCCAATACCTCCACACTCTCCACCTTATTGGCCATCATTGGTGGTGCATGGTATCACAAAGTAACATGAGCACGTGGTTCATCATCGCTGGGTCACCAGTGATATCCTAAAGACATAACTGGCAAACAAATTGGAGATACACAAAATACTCCCAAAAGGAAATTGGAGAAGTACCCAAGGTACTCTCCCTAACCATGAGAGCAGATTCTCTCAAGCACTACGCTTTCAAGAATCTACCCTTCATCATACCCAAAACCTGCAAACAGAGTTAACCGCAGTCCAAATTTAAAATTCGTTTACAAGACAATAGTTTTTCAGCAGATAGACACTTCGTCCCCATATCTGCAGGGTTGAACTCTGAGGGTATCTTGCACAACTTCACCTTACCTGCATATAAAACATCACGAATAAAGTGGAACCTCACATCAATGTGTTTGGTTCTATCATGAAAACAGGGTTTTTGCAAAGCTGGATAGCAGACTGGCTATCAGAAAACACAGTAACATCCTGTTTAAGAAAACCTATTTCAGTAACAAGACGTCTTAACCAGATGGCTTCCTTGAAGGCTTCTGTAGCTGCAACATACTCAGCTTCAGTGGTTGATAAGGCAACAATTGGTTGTAACTGAGATTTCCAACTAATACAAGAACCACACAAAGTGAACACATAGGAAGTGGTAGATTTCCTATTGTCTTTATCATTAGCATAGTTAGAATCAACATAACCACTCAGTTTCACACCTTCAGTACACTTAGTAAAAATCAAACAATGATTTGCAGAAAATTTCAAGTATCTCAAAAGCCATTTCAAAGCATTCCAATGAGGCATACCAGGATTTGACATAAACCTACTCAAACAACTCACAGCATAGGCAATATCAGGTCTAGAACTAACCATCAGATACATCACAGAACCTATAGCATTAGAGTAAGGAACAGACTTCATAAGCTCAATTTCAGAAGCAGTCTTAGGAGACTGATTCTTACTTAGCACAAAATGAGAGGCAAGGGGGACATGCATAGGTGCAACAGAAGACATATTAAACTTACTCAAAACCTTCTCAACATAAGAAATCTGATTTAGGACAAGAGTATGCTTGCTCCTGTCCCTAATAATGTTAATCCCAAGTATTCTCTTGGCATCACCAAGATCTTTCATAGCAAAATTCTCACAAAGACATTTTTGAACAGATATAATAGATTTAAGACAAGGGCTAATAATCAACATGTCATCCACATAGATTAACAAGAACACAGGAACAGAATTAGTATTCTTGAAATAAAGACAATCATCACAGGAAGATTTCACAAATTTCATAGACTGCATACACTTGTCAAACCTAATATTCCACTGCCTAGGGGATTGCTTCAGGCCATACAAGGCCTTCCTAAGCAGACAGACATGGTCACTCCTCTTGGGATCCACAAAGCCCTCAGGTTGAGTCATGTAAATTTTCTTATCCAATTCACCATGCAGAAATGCAGTGGTGACATCCATTTGTTTCATCTCCCAGTCATGGTGAGCAACCAAAGCCAACATCATTCTAACAGTAGTAAACTTAACTACAGGAGCAAAGATTTCTGCATAATCTACCCCCTCTTTTTGAGTAAACCTCTTGGCAACTAACCTGGCCTTATACCTAATGTTATTACCCAGATCTTCCTTGACCTTAAACAGCCATTTGCACTCAACCACTGAGCTGGCATTAGGTCTAGGAACAAGGGTCCAAGTCTGGTTCACTCTTAGAGAGTCCATCTCACTTTTCATGGCCTCAAGCCCTCTGAGACTCTCTGGACCTTATAACTTCACTATAGGTCTTAGGTTCATTTAGGTCTAGGGCCTCAAACACAGTAAAAGCAAAATCACATATATCACACGCAGTAAAAGCATAGTCAGACAAAGTATCAGATTTTCTCTTAATGGTTCTTCTACCCCTATCCCTAACAAGTTGGTAGTCATGCAAATCAACATTATCATCCTCAGCAGAATCATCAAACACATTGGTTTCACCAGACAGATAATCATTATGCACATGGTCATCTTGAGTATTGAACTCCACCTCACTGGAGGTAGCAGTATCAGCAGAAGTATTAACATGCACATCAGAAGGGATGACAGGTACAACAGGAGGAGTGTCACACATAACATAAGGAATAGTAGGTACAGAAGAGGCCTGAGGCTCCACCTCAACAGGTGTCCTCTCAGGTTCATGCTCATAAACAGGTTTAAGCAAGTAAGGGAAATCAAACTCATTGAAAATTACATCCCTACTTATAACCACCTTAAAACCAGGCACACTTCTATCCCACAACCTATATCCCTTTACCCCATCAGGATAACCCAAGAAAACACACTTTTTGGATCTAGGATCTAACTTATCAGTTTTCTGATGAACATAGGCAACACACCCAAAGACCCTAAGGTTTGTTAGGTCAAGAGGCCCACCAGTAAACTTAACTTCAGGGCATTGACCCCCTATGGGAACAGAGGGAGATCTATTAATAAGATAGGTGGCGGTGGTAACTGCTTCACCCCAAAACTTCTTAGGTAAACCTGAGGTAGACAACATACTTCTAACCTTGTCAAGAAGGGTTCTATTCATCCTTTCAGCCACCCCATTCTGTTGGGGGTGTAGGGCACAGTCTTATGTCTCCTAATGCCTGAAGTGGCACACAGTTGGTCAAGCTCATGGTTACAGAACTCTAGGCCATTATCAGTCCTAAGGGTCTTAACATTCTGTCCAGTTTGATTTTCTACAAGTAACTTCCAGGCCTTAAACTTCTCACAAACATCAGACTTATGTTCTAGAAGGTAGACCCACACTTTCCTAGAGAAATCATCAATTAAGGACAAGAAATACCATTTCCCCCATGTGTGGGAACACTGCCATGACCCCAAACATCAGCATGCACATATTCAAGCACAAAGGAGCACTTTGTCATATTAGGATAAGAGGATAGAGGGAACTGGACTCTATGTTGTTTACCAAGCACACATGATTCACAGAAAGTCAAA